TGGGACCAAAGACTGAAAAGTGCTCCTGGGAAGTGAGGTTATGTAGTTCAGATTGGCCTCAGCAAGTTTGAAAATTGATGTAAGGATTTATGCAATTTTTCATTTGATGTAATACGTCAAATTGTGTGTGTGTGTGTGTGTGTGTACATATATATGTATATAAACTTTTTTCCCCAAAAATCTTTGTGTAAAATTGGTGTCCTGGCCTATTGTTTTATATTCTTGGTGGCTGAGAAGACCCAAATGGAGAAACAGGGCATAGGTGCTGGCCTGGAGGCTCAGAGGACTGTTGGTATTTTCCATTCACTTGGTTTACAGTAATAAAGCTTCCCAGCTGCCTGTGGAGATAACCCCTTTTCCCATTTTTCAGAATGACCAAAGCTATACATATTCATTGTAAAATAAGATAAAACACAAATTAACATTAATAATAATACTAATAATAAATCAGTGCATCCATACTTGAGATGTGGCCTTCCAAATCTTTTTCTCTGCATCTATATGAGTAAATTTCTTAAAAAATGAGCAAATGAATACAACCCTTATTTTTTATTGAATTATTGTCAGAACTAAGAGACATCTCAGATTGTTTTTGAAAGAATGTAAGAAGTTATGAATAATTACAAACATCGTAAAGGGTAATCCTGTTTGTGAACCCCAAAGCTCACCCCCCATAATTCACCTGTGTCGTCTAGCTTCTAGCAGAGACGAGCACCTGCTGTGGGGCTGCTGCTGAAGTTGCAGGGTCAAGTTGCGCTCCTTTTTAAGTGACTCAAGTGTCTTAAATGCCTCAAATGCAGCAGAAAAGGTAGCTCTTCAATGTTGTTGATATGCAAAATTTGAGCAGAAAATCCTAAAGTTAAATTGCATAGTAAGGTGGAGAGAGCCTTAGACAAGATCATTGTAACATCTATTACCTGTGTGACTTTGGGCAAGGCAGGTAGCTTCCCTAAACAGATTTTCTCTTCCTTAAGTTGGGGATAATGACACCTAGTCTACCTTCCCCTACCAGAGTCACTATGAGGACCAAGTGTCAAGTGTCCTTGTTACTTGCATTGCATGCAAATGTGTATGCTATTTTATTTTTAAAAGTTTAGATGTAGAAAGATCAAAAGCAATGTCAGTCTTTATGAAATCTAACTCTTGGACTTAACATTAATAGGACTTAATTATGATGCAAATATTCTTAAGTTTTTCTTCAAAGAAGATAGAATTCCTTGATGATTAGCATCTCATTGACCTTCCTCACTATTCTGAACAGAAGAAAAGGGAAAAAAAAATTTATCCCATTCAGAATAACACAGAATGAAAGCAGGCTTGCCATTCAGGGGAGCTCTGCATTTGCACAGGGAGTCCCAGTGCTCCTGAGGGCTATTTCGTGTTGCATTAAGAGAGCAGCTACAAGGGGTGTGTGCCAGTGGGGGCATGGCCGAGTCCCCGCACCCACTGCTGCAAGGGCTGCCCACAGCCAGGTGAATCAGGTGTCAGAAAATGTTCCTACTTCCTGTTGCTTCGAGCTCTGGGTGCCCCTTCATGATTTTCTAATCTAGAACCTCCTCATATTGTTGGGAGGAGAGACCTGTTTTCAGGCAACTTTGGGGAAGGTAGGTTGACAGAAGTATAATGAAAGCAGGTTATTTATGGTAATAAAGCCATGTACTAAGTACTCACTTAAATATGGTATTTTTCCTTAGTGCCCAATTGGGACTTGTCCCTGTGCGAGGACTTTTGCAGAATGTGGGAGAAGCATACTCTTGTGTAGTTCAGAACTCTAAGAGAGGGAGGGAGACTAGAGGAGAGAGTGCCAGTTGTGGTTGGAATGCCTTGGAGAGGAAAAGACCAATTTGGGAGAAGATTGATCCCCCAAGGGCTTGGGCTATTTGGTTTAATTCTGCATTCACATTGCCTGACACTCACTGGGAACTTAGTGAAGTATTTTTAATGAATTAAATGAGTGAATCACTCTTCTGAAATGAAGTCTGTTGAAATGTGTTGCAATGACCCTCAGGCCATTGCAAGGATGTCTTTACATATGCAAAGTACTTAAACCTAGAAAAACACTTTCATATGCATTATCCCTTGTAATGGTGACAGAGATAAAAGAAGGCCAAAATAAAAGGATTTCCTAATGTCATTCTTTCTAGACATTGTGCAATTACTGGCAGAAATAGATTTGGTTTATTATTCCTAGATGATTCTTTCCATAAATACATCGAGAAATATTTCAGAAGGGTGGGTATAAGACCTATTTTGTAACTACCAATTTGTACTTTTTTCTATGATGGCTTAGGTTTTCTATATATAGTCTCATGTCATCTGCATATAATGACAGGTTTACTTCTTCCTTTCCAATCTGAGTGCCTTTTATTTCTTTTTCTTGCCCAATTGCTGTGGCCAGGACTTCCAATACTACGTTGAATGAAAGTGGCGGAAATGGACATCCTTGCCTTGTTCCCAATCTTAAGGAGCATGCTTTCAGCTTCTCCCCATTGAGTGTGATGTTAGCTGTGTGTTTGTCACATATGGCCTTTGTTATGTACAGATACATTCCCTGTATTTCCACTTTGCTGAGAATTTTTATCATAAATGATGTATTTTGTCAAATGCTCTTTCTGCATTGATTGCTATGCTCATATGCTTTTTAGCTTTCATTTTTGTATGTGATAAATTATGTTAATCAATTTGCAGATTTTGAACCAACCTTNGCCAGCGCCCCGCCGGGGTAGAGGAGGCTCGCGGCGCCCAGTCCCGACGAGCGCAACACGCCGCGCCCGGAGTTGCAAGGTTTGTGCCACCCGGCTCGGGTCTGCGGGCAAGAGGACCAGGGAGGCAGCGAGACGCGCTCCCTGCCCGGCTGCGACTGAAAGCAGCACTCCGGGTTCTAGTCTCTACTTCTCTGCCCACTCGCTGTGCTACCTCGGGCAACCTTCTTTCCTTCTCTGGTTCTCTATTTCCTCCTGTGTTCAATGAGGGAGTTGGTATTGAATGATGCTATTTAGTCTAATGAGTGCTAAAACCTGACCTGCGTTTTGGCAACTGGCAAGCTCCCTTCCTTAGTTTCCCACCTACTTAAGAGCCAGCTGCGCTGCCCGGAGGGCCGAGTCTCCAGGAAGCCAAGGTGCCTGGGTAGGCGGGGGTTCCGCTGGGCCGTCCTGTTTCCTGGGGCTTATGAGAACTGACCCTGGGCTGGCTGCTGGCTGGACCTGGCTGCAGAGTAACTGCCCCAGATTGCTCAGGTGAAGTAAGGTGGAGTGTTAGGACCTATCTACAGGTGGGGTACTGGGAAGGGGCATTTGGGAGCTGATGACTTCTACTTGAAAATAAGCAGATTTGTTTTGGAATTCTCTTCTTACACTCAGACCTTGTCCCGCAGTGAGTTATAAATCACAGGAATGGGATTTATCATCTTTTAAAGTGAAAAACCAACTACCTCAGTGGCTAAGTCATAGGGCTCCACCGGCATGTAGGAAGTGGGCCTCTCTGAAGCCATCCTGCCTCCTCCCTTTTTCCTTTTCTCCCTCTTCCCTTTATACACCCCCTTTGACTTTGAGGGGCTCCACTTCCTGTCTTAATGAAAAGTTCTTATTTTCATTTAGTGCTAGTTTGTGAATAGCAGCCTCCTGGGCTTTGGGCTCTGGGTTGAGATGTAAGCCTAGATAAGAACAGAGTATGAATCAGCCTCCTGACCCACACTGACTAGGAGGGATGTGCAGAGGAAGCCCAGTGGGGGCTTCAGACAGACAGACAGACAGACAGACAGACAGACAGACACTGGAAGGTGGGTTGGATTCAAACTGCTATTCAGCTTCCTGTTCCCTTTTTGGAAAGCCATTTCCAGCTGGGGAATAGTGGGCCTGTTTGTCAGTTGGATGGAGCAGCCAAACAGAGGAGGGTGGTTGAAAGCAACTGGGGGGGGGTGTGTGGCCGGTTGGCTCATTTGGTTAGATCATGGTGCTCCTAACACCAAGGTCGCGGGTTCAGTTCCCACATGGGCCAGTGAGCTGCGCCCTCCACAACTAGATTGAAAAACAACGGCTTGACTTGGAGCTGATGGGTCATAGAAAAGCACACTGTTCCCCAATAAAGTTAAACAAACAAAAACAACTGGGGACTTTGATGGGTTTCTGTGGAAGATCTCCAGCAGTTCCCCCCACTCCTCTACCCTCACCCCTGTAGTTCTTTTTCCTTAGTGTGGTATCTAGGTGAAATCAGATTCTAGGACCCATCAAAAGGGGCCAAGAAGTGGGCAGGACAGTGACAATATTGATTGTCTTTTATTGGGCACTTATGGGCCAAACACTCTTCTTTGCATTTAATATCTCCTTAATTCTCACCAAGCCACGTGAGGGGTGGTATATTGTCCTTTATCATTTTACAAATGAGAAACTGAGGCTCAGAAAGATCACGTCCCTTTGTCACATAGCTAGTAAGTGGCATAGCTGGGATTTAAATCCAGTCTCTCTGATTCTTAAACCTGTGTTCTTTCTACTTTTCTGGTGCTCCTGGAGTGAGGGAAAGCTGGACTAGCAACAGCAAAAATGACTATTGAGTTCTCACTAGGTGCCAGACACTGTTCAAAGTGTGTAGAGGTGTTATGTCATGTATGGTGCAGGCGTTTTGGTTGTTCTGGTGGCCATCAGTGGCTGCCTTTGCCTCTCTCAAACAGCAGTCCTGTGTTAGGACGGCGGCCTGATTCTGCCCAGTTGCTAGTGAGTGGGTGGGGCAGGGGCCCTGTTTGCTTTATCCTAGAGGTGGTTTGAGGTCTAATGAAAGATTGATTGTCCACATCTGATCCGTTAGCCCTAACCGTTGGCTTGTGAATGATCCCGCTGTCCCCTAAGAGGCCTTTCTCAGGCTTAGCTCAATAAACATTTGTGGAATGAATGAATTAGCACCTTGTGCTGAGTGGTCTGCTGTCCTGCAGAAATGTGAGGCTGCCCAGGAGCAGCCTGCGCCCCACCATCCAGGCCAGGCAGTTTTCCTTCTCAGGCAAGGGAGGCTGGGTGAACTGTGCC